CTGCGGGCGTGCTCGCTCGACGCACGCCAGTGGCGATCTCGCCCTCCATGGCCCCCTTTTTCGTCCCTCCCCTGGCTCCGCCCTCCGCCCTCCTCCTCCTCCTCCTCCTCCTCCTCCTACTCCTCCTCCTATTACTTCCCCACCCTCCTTCATTATCCTCCTCCTCTACCCCTCTTCAATCACACGGATCGGGGCGGTCGTTTTCAAAACGGAAAGTCGCTGGACACATCGTCGAACGGCAGGATCATACCATCTCGCAGTGCTGGCGACGCGCCAGAAGGACGCACGGCCAAGACAGCTCATTGTCAAAGCGGGGCTCTCGGCTGAATGGCAGGCACAGATAGGGTTGGTCTTTCAAAGGGGTGTCCCTGGTAGTGACTCGGAGGGCTTCTAGGGATTATGAAGAAGCGGCGTGGGACGCAAAAGTGTTGCAGGATCGCTGATGCATCCTGGGTTGACCCTGGTCATACTACTCCTCCTCATTCTCATCATCATCATCATCATCATCATCATCATCATCATCATCATCATCATCATCATCATCATCATCATCATCATCATCATCATCATCATCATCATCATCATCATCATCCTCTCCATCCCTTTTCCATCGACTTCCTCCCTGTCGCACCCCTCGGCGCGTTGGTAGGGTGGACTGGGCGTTTCGCAAAAGACGTCCGTCACTATTGCGCATGGCCCTGGTTCTGGAATTCTGCAGCAGATTCAAGGGTGGATGGCGGGGAGCTCAGACTGGGGCTTTCGCTTGAGCGCCGCATGCTCTCCTTCGCAACAGCTTGCGCTCATTACAAGCATGGATGGCGGCTGGCTTTCATTTTTTTCATGGAACACAGCCCCATCATGTGCCATCACGCCTCAGCCAGCAAAGCGAAAGGATTCGCGCTGCCACTGCTCATTGCCCTTGCATTTGACAGCGCTAAACAGGCCTGATGCCCACGGTTCCTCGTGAAGCTCGCCGCCGAGGATGTGTGCAACAGGAGCGAGGAGCAAAGCGAAGGAGGGCGCGGGCTGGGAAAAAGAGACCACGGCGTTGTGCATACAAAAGGGTATATGTAGCCATACACTCGCGCGTGCGCAAACCAGTCCTTTTGGACGGCACCCGCACAGTGGACCCTTGCGAGCAGATGCGTACACCAACAAGGAAGCCAGCGGGAGAGCGAGAGCACGCGGACGACAACGAGGAGAGAAGAGCGGAGGGAGCGGAATGGACACCAAATCGCAGCACGAGGCTCCAGCGGCAGGACAGACATAAAAACCTTGAGCAGAGAGGAGGACAGTGCAGACGAGCGCAAGGGAGACCGGACGTGACGAACGCATCGTGCAAGCGAACGGCCGACGGCCGAGGCTGCGCGACACGGCTGTCCCTCCAGGTAGGCGATCGCACGGGCAGCTGTCTGTCGCCCGGGCAGGCGTGCCGGCGCGCGGCCCAGCCCCAGGTGCGCACGAGAGGGCACGCGGGGGAAGGAGAAGCGCGGGGCAGCGCCAAGCCAAGACCAGTCAAACAAACAAGCGGGCGCCATGGAGGCTGCAGCAGGGAGCGGGGGAGCAGGGAGCGGAGCAGCAAACGCATGCAAGGAGCGCGGATCCACCAGACATGCCAGCTCGAGACGAGGCAGAAAGAAATACAGAGACGCCGAGAAGGGACGCCAAGAGTAAAGAGGCCCTCAGAACTCGTCGGACATGGCATCTGTTGGACGCTCATTGTCGTCATACCGTTGGTACTAGAAACACTCTTCGAACTCGTGGCGTCTGTGGTATCTCAGCAGCACAACATTCAACAGCATGACTGGCTCCTGCAGTACGACGGAGTTGTGTTCGACATGCCGGAGGTGTTGCTGCTGACGTCGACGCTGGCGTCGGCGCAGGCGTAGGCGCCGGTGTTGGCGTCGGTGCTGGAATTGGCTCTGGTGCAGGCGCTGACGTTGTGGCTGATGCAGGCTCCGGCGTTCGTGCTGACGTCTGTACTGGCGTTGGCGCTGGTGTAAGCGCTGGCGTTGGTACCAGGGTAGGCGCAGGCGTTGATGCTGGCGTCGGTGCTGGCGTCGGCGCAGTCTTAGGCGCTGGCGATACTTCTAGCGTCGGTGCAATCGTCGGTGCTAGTGCAGGCGCCGAGAATGGTGCTGGCGTAGGCGCTGGCGTTGGTGATGGCCTCGGTGCTGACGTCGGCGCTGGTGTAGGCGCTGGCGCCGGTGCCGGCGTAGGCGTTGGCGTGGACGCTGGCGTCGGTGCTGGCGTTGGCGCTGGCGTAGGCGCCAGCGTTTGTGCTGGTGTCGGTGCTGGCGTCGTTACTGGTGTAATTAGCCGCCGGCGTTGGTGCTGGCGTGGGCGCAAACGTTGATGCTGGCGTCGGCGCTGGCATCGGCGCTGGAGGAGGTGCCGGCGTTGGGGCTCGCGTGTTGGTGTAGGCGCTGGCATGTGTGTCGGGTGTCGGCGTAGTCGCCGTCGTCGTTGCTGGCGTCCGTGCTGGTGTCGGCGCTTTTGTATGCGCTGGCGCTGGTACCAGCGTAGGCTCAGGCGTTGATGCTGACGTCGGAGTTGGCGCAGAAACCAGCGATAGTTCTGGCATCGGTGCTGGCGTCGATGCTGGTGCAGGCGCCGGCGATGGTGCTGGCGCAGGCGTTGGTGCTGGCGTCGGTGCTGGCATCGACGTGGTGTAGGCTCTGGCGCCGGTGCCAGCGTGGACGCAGGCGTGGATGCTGGCGTCGGTGCTGGCGTCGACTCTGGCGTAGGCGCCAGCGTTTGTGCTGGCATCGGTGCTGGCGTCGTTGCTGGTGTAGGCGCCGGCATTGGTGCTGGCAGGCGCAAGCGTTGATGCTGGCGTCGGCGCTGGCATCGGCGCTGGGGGAGGTGCCGGCGTTGGAGCTCGCGTCCGTCCTGCCGTCGGCGTTGGCGAGGCACTAGCGTTGGTGCCAGCGTAGGCGCTGGCGTTGCTGCTGGCATCGGTGCTTATGTCGGCGCTGACGTTGCGGTCGGCGCAGGCGCCAGCGTTCGTGCTGGCGTCTGTGCTGGCGTCGGCGTTTGTGTCTGCGCTGGCGTTTCTGTTGGCGTAGGAGCAAGCGTTGATGCTGGCGTCGGGGTTGGCGTGGGCGCTGGCTTAGGCGACAGCGATAGTTCTGGCGTCGGTGCTGGCGTCGGTGCAGGTGAAATCGCCCGCGATGGTGCTAGCGCGGGCGCCGGCGTTGTTGCGGGCGTCGGTGCTGGCGTACTTGAGGCCCGCCCCAAACTATCTCAGAATAGATATCGAACAGATGTACTATAGTTAAGGAACAGTTGTAGGATAGTCATATGCTAGTTTATGAATAGGTTGTTCAACTACTCATAAACTATCATATAACTATCCTGTATCAACATGCAGCGAACCATTCGATAACTACCCTAATGTAAATTTCAACATAGACAATACAGTGTTCATTGTTGTTCCTATCATGTTTAATTGTTATGTTTTATGGTTTCCTTCTCATTTTATACGATCTTTATTAAAACAACAAAAAAATGATTACGTATATGTAACCTGAGTTGTTTTATTATGTTCTACAGTGGCAGATCTCACATGTATGCATCGCGAGCATGCTCGCCTCGGAAACCCAGTGGGTTTGATCATGCCGTTGCATAGCGAGCATCGCTCACACGTTGGCGCGTGCATGTGGATCATGACGACGATGATATCGGTTATGCTGTATAGCCGTTTTGGTACGAGTGCCGCAGCCTTTGCCGCGCTTGCCGCCCTTGCCTTACGGACCCGGAGAAGAAGAGCGGGGCAGCGCCCTTGCGGACCCTCTCATACATAAGGCCCTGCGCTACCGTTCCCTTTAGGCTAATGGGGGCACGAGCCGCGTGAGGGCTGCGCACTGGGGGCTGACCAGACGGCTGCATGATTTTGAAAACATGCGTTGCCCATAAACACTGCCGTGGGCGCCATTGAAATTAGGCAACAATTGAAAAGCTCGCACCAATCATCGTCAGGACAACCGCCAGCGCCAGCATCAACATCATGAGGATGATGATGATGATGATCATCATCATCGTCACTGCGCACATGTTGGCACACCCCTCAGTGTTGGTGGCACCATATGGAGCTCATCCAAACGCCCCAATTAAAGGGTCCGCATGGCGCCGCCGCGCCCAACTCGGCGCAACCTTGCGCGATTAGTACTTGTTTTGCTCGATAGGCATTCTACCGACAGCCCTGATGGGAGGGCCGTGGGCGTTGGCGTCGTCGTTTTGGCTGTGGCGCTGGTCGTTGTGGTCGTTGTGGTCACAATGGCCGTGATGGTCGTCGCCGTCGCGGTTGTGGTCGCCGCCATGGTCGTTGTCGTGGTCGTCGTTATGGCAGTGGTCGTTGTCGGCGTCGTCATCGTCGTGGTCGAGGCCGTCGTCGTGGATGTCGTCGTGGTCGTAGCCTTCGTGATCGTGATCGGTTTCGTCGTGGGCGTGGTCGTTATTGTCGTCGTGGTCGTGGCCGTGGCCATGGGCGTTGCTGTGGTCGTTGTCGTGGCAGTGGTCGTCGTTGTCTTGATCTTGATCGTCGTCGTCGTCGGGGTCGCGGTGGTCGTCGTGGTTGCGGTTTCGGTCGTCGTCGTCGTCACAGCCGTCGTGGGCGTTGTCGTCGTCGTGGCCGTCAAATTGCTCGTGGTTGTGGTCGTGGCCGTCGTCGTGGTCGTGGTCGTGACCGTCTTCGTCTTCGCACTCGTCGGCGAGGTAGCGGTCGCGGTCGTCGTCCTGGTTGTGGTCGCTGTCGGTATGATTCTTCCCAACACGCTTAGTGGGGTTCTGGTTTTCTTCACAGCCGCGTCGCACCCGCGTCTTCCTTCCTCCTCCTTCCTCCTCCCCTCCTCCCCTCCTCCCCTTCTCCTCCTCCTCCTCCTCCTCCTCCTCCTCCTCCTCCTCCTCCTCCTCCTCCTCCTCCTCCCCCTCACGCACACAGCACAGCACAGCTCAGCACAGCTCAGCTCAGCCCAGTGCAGCTCAGCACGGCACAACTT